GCGCGCGCAGCTTCCACTTCGGGGAGGGCGGGTACAGAGAGACCAAGAGTCAAAGAGCCCCCTCCTCCTGCTCCGAAGTGCGCGTGGTGGTGTTTGAGTCACCACGTTTTTAGGGGTGTCCTACTGGGGCTGCAGATCAAAGGTGCCCTTGGATACTTGTGATGCTTTCACCTAATCGACGATCGCTTCTGCACGGCTGTTCTTTGTGGTTTCGCTTTTTCCTTTTATAATGTTGCAAATTACATTTTATTTATTCATGTATTTACTTGTGGCTCGCCACACCTGGGTGTGTGTGTGCGCACGTGTGGGGTGTGTGTGTGTGTGTGTGTATGTATGTGTGTGTGTAGGTTAGAGGGGGACAGCTTTCAGGTCTATTCTCTCCTACCCTGTGGGTTCTGAGGATGGAATTCAGGTCGAGCTTGGTGACAAGAACCTTCACCTACTGAGATACCTTGTTGGTCCTTGTTTTGTTGTTGTTTGAGACGCTATCTCATACCCAGGCTGGCCTTGTCAGGCCAGCCTAGAGTAGGCTGGCTGCAAATTCATGATTTTCCTGCTCAAGCATTGCAGGTGTGTGCCACCAAGCCTAGCCCTTTTAATTAAGTAATTAATTAACTAATATTTTGTACAGGGTCTCTTGCTATGTAGCTCAGACTGCCTTCCAACTGGTGACCCTTCTGGCTTAGGCTCCCAGAGTCTTGCTGGAGTCACAGGTGTACACGACCACACCTGATTTCCCTTGTTCCTTTAAGGTGAACAACTCTGCTACTTCCTAGAGACTATGGACACCCTGGAGATGAATAGTAGTTGAAACATTAAATGGTGAATTTGGCAGCATGTGCATCCCTTGAGAACGTCAAGGTTCTGCACTGGGATGTTAATTCAGTCAGTGCTTCCTCCAGGAACACACACACACACTCGCGCACATACACGCACGCACGCACGGGTTTTCTCACACTTAATGACTATGAAGGAGCTGACGCAGTTGGTAAAGTGCCTGACTGATTCCTTCATACTCCAGGACTTGAGTTCATTCCCCAGTACCAACTTCAAAACCCATTGAGAGGGCTGGAGAGATGGCTCAGTGGTTAAGAGCACACTGGCTGCTCTTCCAGAGGTCCTGAGTTCAATTCCCAGCAACCACATGGTGGCTCACAACCATCTATAATGAGATCTGGCGTCCTCCTCTGGCATGCGGGCATACATGGAATGTTGTATACATAATAAATAAATAAATAAATATAAAAAAACCAAAACCCATTGAGAGCTTCTGTAATTCCAGCTCTTTAGGGTGGAGCCAGACAGATCGCTGAAGTTCATTGGCCAGCCTGCCTAGCCAATCAATGAGCTCCACGTTCATGGGAGCCACTGTCTCAAAACAAAAACAAAACCGAGAAAACAACAACAGAAGAAGACAGAGACAGGCTGTGGTGGTGCACAACTTTGATCCCAGCACTCGAGAAGCAGAGGGAGGCTGGTCTCTGTGAGTTCCAGGCCAGCCTGGTCTGCAGAGCGAGTTCCAGGACATTAAGTACTGTTACACGAAGAAACCCTCTCTTGAAAACCCGAGAGAGAGAGAGAGAGAGAGAGAGAGAGAGAGAGAGAGAGAGAGAGAGAGGATGCACACTTGTGCATTCAAGTGCACATGCGTGCAGACACACACACACACACACACACACACACACAAGAATTTTTAAAAATAATGATCATGAGAATAGAGACGTAGGTCCTGCCCTCAGTGAACTTCAGGATAATGAAGAGACAGATATGAACTGATGAAATGCTCACAGTCATACAGGGTGTATGTTGACAGGGTGCATGGCAGAGTGTTGGGTCTGGGGCCGGAAGGAAGCGGGAGGGGGCAGCCGGTCAAGGGCAGGTAGAAGGGAGATTATGATGAGAAATGTCCCTGCCTACTGAGCTCCCATTCTGAACCTCAACAGGGGAGCCGATCACCCTGTTTTAAAGCTTCTCAACCTTCCTAATACTCAGACTTCATAACTGTAATCTTGCTACTGTTATGAATTGTAATGTAAATATCTGATATGCGGAGGAGGGTGGGGATTGTCACAACCCATGGATTGAGAACCACTGTCAGGAGGGCTACAATAAGAGAGAAGAGTGTTTGAGAGGCAGGGAACAGAAGTTTCTTGGTTTTTGGTTTAGGTTTTGCTTTGTTTTAGCGTGATCTGTTGGGTTTGTTTGTTTGAGACCAGGTCTCTTGTAGCCCAGGCTGGCCTCGAACTGACTCTGTAGGTGAAGTTGAATTCCTGGTTCTCCTGTCTCCACCTCCAAAAGCTAGAGGGACGGGTGTGCACTAGCACACCCTGCTCGGGTTCTCATTTTCACTATTTTTAGTATGAGCATTGAGTCCAGGGCGTCATGTGTGCAAGCGCTTTGGCATTGAGCTATGCCCCACCCCTTTAACATAATATTTTATTTTATTTATTTGTTATGTGTGTGCAGGTCAGAGAGCAACTCTCCTGCCACCATGTGGGACCTGGGGAATAACACTTGGGTCCTCAGCCTTGGTGGCAAGCCCCCCTTACCTGCCAAGCCATCTTGCCAGCCTCCCACCGTGACTTCTTGTATTTCCCATTTTCGATCAGGTTCCACCTAGTTCCCCAGACTGGCTTTATTCTTATGCTGCGACCCAGATAGAGCTTGAACCCGAGATGCTCCTGCCTCGGCCTTCACAGTGGCTAGGCAGGATTACATGCCCAAGTCACCAGACCTGGCTCGGAGACACACCCTGGGAAACTGTGGCAAATGAGGACAGCGAGAGCAGGCTGAGGAGCCTCTTCCCCAAGTGAGGGTTCTTGAACCGGAGTCCAGAGGATGTGCTGACTCTGGCTGGGACTGGAGGCGAAGTGTGGAAGGAGAGCTTACAGCCAAAGAGTGTGTGTGCTAACCCCTGGAAGTCCTGTACTCAGGAGGGATGGACAGAAGGTCACCGTGGCCATGAAAGGGCAACCAGTTCATCTGAAGTAGATGAGTGAAGGGCTGTGTAGGACCCCAAGAGCCATGAGAAGCACACCATATGCTTGTAAAGGAGTCACCCTGGGTGCCATGGAGTTTGATTAAAACAGTGGTCAAAGTGGCCTGTGGGAAGCTGGCTAAGAAACTGCCAGACTAAGTAAGGCAGGTTTAAGGAGAAAGATGGGGAAAAGCCAACAGTCCCAGAAATATCGAATACACACACACACACACACACACACACACACACACACACACACTTTTATATAATTTACTGTTTTTAATTGAGCTATACATATTTTCCCACTTGCCTTCCTTCCTCCCTGTCCCCTTCTACCCTTCCCTCATGCCCCCCATAATCCCAATTTCCTCAGATCTTGGCTTTCTCTCCTTCTTATATAGATCCATGAATGTCTTTCTTAGGGTTTTCTTTGTTGTCTAGGCTCTCGAGTTGTGGGCTGTAGGCTGGTTATTCTTTACTTCATGTCTAAAAGTCACCACTTATGAGTGAGTACATGTGATACTTGTCCTCCTAGGTACAGGCTACCTCATTCAGTGTGGCTTTTTCTAGTTCTGTCCATTTGCCTGCAAATTTGTCATTTCAATATGTCATTGTTTTTTCACTGCTGTGTGTAAATGCACCACATTGTCTTTATTCATTCTTCAGTAGAGGGGCCTCTAGGCTGTTTCCAGGTTCTGGTTATTATGAATAATGCTGCTATGAACACAGTTGAGCAAATGTCCTTGTGGTATGAGTATGCATTCTTTGAGTATATGCCCAAGAGTGGTATTGCTGGACCTTGAGGTAGACTGATTCCTAATTTTCTGAGATATTGCCATACTGATTTTCAAAGTGGCTGTACAAGTTTTCACTCCGCATCCTCTCCAGCATAAGTTGTCATCAGTGTTTTTGATCCTGGCCATTCTGACAGGTGTAAGATGGAATCTCAAAGTTGTTTTGATTTGCATTTCTCTGATGACTAAGGATGTTAAACACTTCCTTAAATGTCTTTCAACCATTTTAGATTCTTCTGTTGAGAATTCTCTGTTCAGGACTGTACTCCATTTTTAAAAATTGTATTATTATTATTTTTTTTTGATGTCTAGTTTCTTGAGTATATCCTTTTCTTTACAGAAGCTTCTCAGTTTCAGGAGGTCCCATTTATTAATTGTTTCTCTCAGTGTCTATGCTGCTGGGATTATATTTAGGAAGTGGTCTCCTGTGCCAATGTGTTCAAGTGTTCTTCCCACTTTCTCTTCTATGAGGTTCAGTGCGTGTTTTTTTTTTTTTAAGATTTATTTATTATGTATACAGTGTTCTGGCTGTATGTATACCTACATGCCAGAAGAGGGCACCAGATCTCATTACAGATGGGTGTAAACCACCATGTGGGTACTGGGAATTGAACTCAGGACCTCTGGAAGAGGTCTTAACCAGTGCTCTTAACCGCTAAGCCATCTCTCCAGCCCCAGCGTGGTTGTTTTTATGTTGAGGTCTTTGATCAGTTTGGACTTGAGTTTTGTGCATGGCAATAGATATGGATCTATTTGCACTCTTGTACGTGTTGACATCCAGTTATGCCTGCACCATTTGTTGAAGATGCTTTCTTTTTTCCATT